CAGCTCAATCGGACCATTGTAGCAAGAGTTTCGACCTAATTAGTTCAAGTTCTTTTATGATTTATTTTGTACATTTTCATACCGAAACTAATCTTTTAACTACTCTTTCCTTGAGTTATACTATTTTATCATTTCAAATGAAATAATTACTGAACACCTATGTCTTTTATTTATTTATTTTTTTTAAACGCATGTGGGGTATTACATTAGTTAACCCACGCTGACTTTAATTGGACTGGCATGCTCGAGGTGGGACATGTGTTATCTGGGAGAAGATCCCTTAAAGTAGTTTCGTCTACACGTCCTATCGTTGTAATAAATGCTTTGTATAAAAAGAGGGGGAAAACATCTTTGCCTTTCCCACTGACATTTTGAATTCCTATTTCCTTGTGTTTCTTCTTCCCCCTTCTGGTTTTCAAGGCAGCTATCTTAAGTTCTTGGTGGTTTGGGGATTCTGCGTTTTTCATTCTTCTGTGGTTCTACTCTGGCTTCCAGTTAGGTACGCCCTTTCCTTCCCCTTCTTTTCTTCGATTTAGATCCCTTTAACCCTCCCTATTGGGGTTTCAAGTTTTGCTTCCTTATTTGGAGATTTAGTTACTTATGGAACCATTCTGGTAATCTTGATCCCTTTCTCAATTCGTAGATTATCCTCTCCTACTGAGGTTATCATTACTTAGAACTTGGTGTCGAACTCCCTTGTTCCCGACAGATTGTGCTTTACATCTACCCCATTTACATTTTGAGTTGCAATTTGGACCAATAATGGGGATGGTGGTTTCTGATTTTGAATACGAGGAAGAAGTTGATGAAGGTCCTAAAAAAGTCTTTGCGGCTTCTTCTAGTGGCCATTTCGAGGAGGGGGCATCCTCTGCCCCAAATGGGTAGGAGGCCTCTGTCATTGGTGATATTTTAGTTGGGGATGACCAATTTTCCTTGTCCTTAGCAGAAAAATTTGAATTCCTTCCCAAGGAGCTGACTGAGGAGGTCTCGAGGCCGACTTTGAGATTTTGACCTCGACCACTTTAGGGGAGGCTCCTTTAGCATTGCCCCCATTCCTTATAGTCGCCCTAAGAACAAAAAAATCCAAAGGTGCTTCAACTTCTACCCCTAAGAAGAAAAAGATTCATAAAGATCTTTCTGACCTAACATGTAGTGTCGAGTTGACCTTGAGTCATCTCAACGTGGAGGATTTGGAAGATGTGAGGGAGGAATATTCCTTTATGAAGTATGTGTTACTCCATTCTCCCGAGGAGGATAAGAGATGCAATTCTTCCATTCTTGGAATGACCTACTTTTTTGAGTTAGTTTTTCATGCTAACCTTCGATTTTATATCCAGCATTTCATCCAGGACATTCTCGCATTCTATAATGTCTACCCAGCTCGGGTGTCTCCGAACGACTGGGGTCCGTTGGTCAGCTTCCTCATACATTGGTTTGAGAGTGGAAACGACCCTCCACCCATGATTCATGAATTCACCTCCATTTTCTAGCTTAAATCCTCTCATTCATTGGGCTTGCTATACTTTGCTAAGAGGGTGAAGACAAAGAGTCTGATTTTTGAGCTCCCATCTTCTAACAATGGGTGGAAGTTGAGGTTCTTTTTCATTGAACGTGATTCTTGGGAATTGTCAAGAGGACGTTCCTCACATTCCTTGGTCCTGAGGAATCCTAAGAACACTCGTAAGGCCAATAGTCGGCTACGTTTTTCCTTATATATCTATTGGCAACATGCTTTGTTCATGGTTGTTATTCTAACTCGTGATTTGATCTATAGGCTGTTATCTGGTTCTCAACACCATGGAGACTGCTAAGGTGGCCAAGACAGAGGCTTTTGGTTTGAAGTCTTTTTTAGACCTAGTGACTGAGGAGAACCTTGGTAAATGCAAACTTGGGCCCCCAGTGGACATGCATCCTACTCACATTCCTGAACCTTTGTCTATCCCCCGAGCTTCCTAAGAATACAATCTCTTCAGAGAAGCCTACACCATCAGTAGTGCATTCTGTCTTTCCCCAATTAACTCTACTTAAGGAAGGAAAAGGGGAACCAAGTCTCCCCCAACCAATTGTCCGGGGGAGTGGGTTCCTTCATGATCTAGAGGCTACCATGACCGCTTTGGCTGAGCTGGTTAAGTTCTTTTCAAGAGAAAGACCAAGCAATCCTTCCAAGGCCTAGTTGTGGTGCCTTATGATTTTTCCCTTTTTACCAGACTGTCCTTTCTGTTGCATCTTTGTCTCTTATTTTTATTGATTATTTTCCCTTTCTTTAGTTGTTGGCGTGCGTAAAAATGATGGAATNTTCCAAGGCCTAGTTGTGGTGCCTTATGATTTTTCCCTTTTTACCAGACTGTCCTTTCTGTTGCATCTTTGTCTCTTGTTTTTATTGATTATTTTCCCTTTCTTTAGTTGTTGGCGTGCGTAAAAATGATGGAATTCCACCACGACCGGCTTGCGACTCAGTTGTCTACAAAGGAGCAAGAGCTGCTAAGGGCTAAGAATGTTACTGAGGCCGCGAAGGTAGGGAAAGGCATTTCTGAAGGAAATGTGGCTGTCTTGGCTATTGAGGTGGCCGAGCTGAAGAGTATTTATAATGANTTATCTGGGAGAAGATCCCTTAAAGTAGTTTCGTCTACACGTCCTATCGTTGTAATAAATGCTTTGTATAAAAAGAGGGGGAAAACATCTTTGCCTTTCCCACTGACATTTTGAATTCCTATTTCCTTGTGTTTCTTCTTCCCCCTTCTGGTTTTCAAGGCAGCTATCTTAAGTTCTTGGTGGTTTGGGGATTCTGCGTTTTTCATTCTTCTGTGGTTCTACTCTGGCTTCCAGTTAGGTACGCCCTTTCCTTCCCCTTCTTTTCTTCGATTTAGATCCCTTTAACCCTCCCTATTGGGGTTTCAAGTTTTGCTTCCTTATTTGGAGATTTAGTTACTTATGGAACCATTCTGGTAATCTTGATCCCTTTCTCAATTCGTAGATTATCCTCTCCTACTGAGGTTATCATTACTTAGAACTTGGTGTCGAACTCCCTTGTTCCCGACAGATTGTGCTTTACATCTACCCCATTTACATTTTGAGTTGCAATTTGGACCAATAATGGGGATGGTGGTTTCTGATTTTGAATACGAGGAAGAAGTTGATGAAGGTCCTAAAAAAGTCTTTGCGGCTTCTTCTAGTGGCCATTCCAAGGAGGGGGCATCCTCTGCCCCAAATGGGTAGGAGGCCCCTGTCATTGGTGATATTTTAGTTGGGGATGACCAATTTTCCTTGTCCTTAGCAGAAAAATTTGAATTCCTTCCCAAGGAGCCGACTGAGGAGGTCTCGAGGCTGACTTTGAGATTTTGAGCTCGACCACTTTAGGGGAGGCTCCTTTAGCATTGCCCCCATTCCTTATAGTCGCCCTAAGAACAAAAAAATCCAAAGGTGCTTCAACTTCTACCCCTAAGAAGAAAAAGATTCATAAAGATCTTTCTGACCTAACATGTAGTGTCGAGTTGACCTTGAGTCATCTCAACGTGGAGGATTTGGAAGATGTGAGGGAGGAATATTCCTTTATAAAGTATGTGTTACTCCATTCTCCCGAGGAGGATAAGAGATGCAATTCTTCCATTCTTGGAATGACCTACTTTTTTGAGTTAGTTTTTCATGCTAACCTTCGATTTTATATCCAGCATTTCATCCAGGACATTCTCGCATTCTATAATGTCTACCCAGCTCGGGTGTCTCCGAACGACTGGGGTCCGTTGGTCAGCTTCCTCATACATTGGTTTGAGAGTGGAAACGACCCTCCACCCATGATTCATGAATTCACCTCCATTTTCTAGCTTAAATCCTCTCATTCATTGGGCTTGCTATACTTTGCTAAGAGGGTGAAGACAAAGAGTCTGATTTTTGAGCTCCCATCTTCTAACAATGGGTGGAAGTTGAGGTTCTTTTTCATTGAACGTGATTCTTGGGAATTGTCAAGAGGACGTTCCTCACATTCCTTGGTCCTGAGGAATCCTAAGAACACTCGTAAGGCCAATAGTCGGCTATGTTTTTCCTTATATATCTATTGGCAACATGCTTTGTTCATGGTTGTTATTCTAACTCGTGATTTGATCTATAGGCTGTTATCTGGTTCTCAACACCATGGAGACTGCTAAGGTGGCCAAGACAGAGGCTTTTGGTTTGAAGTCTTTTTTAGACCTAGTGACTGAGGAGAACCTTGGTAAATGCAAACTTGGGCCCCTAGTGGACATGCATCCTACTCACATTCCTGAACCTTTGTCTATCCCCCGAGCTTCCTAAGAATACAATCTCTTCAGAGAAGCCTACACCATCAGTAGTGCATTCTGTCTTTCCCCAATCAACTCTACTTAAGGAAGGAAAAGGGGAACCAAGTCTCCCCCAACCAATTGTCCGGGGGAGTGGGTTCCTTCATGATCTAGAGGCTACCATGACCGCTTTGGCTGAGCTGGTTAAGTTCTTTTCAAGAGAAAGACCAAGCAATCCTTCCAAGGCCTAGTTGTGGTGCCTTATGATTTTTCCCTTTTTACCAGACTGTCCTTTCTGTTGCATCTTTGTCTCTTGTTTTTATTGATTATTTTCCCTTTCTTTAGTTGTTGGCGTGCGTAAAAATGATGGAATTCCACCACGACCGGCTTGCGACTCAGTTGTCTACAAAGGAGCAAGAGCTGCTAAGGGCTAAGAATGTTACTGAGGCCGCGAAGGTAGGGAAAGGCATTTCTGAAGGAAATGTGGCTGTCTTGGCTATTGAGGTGGCCGAGCTGAAGAGTATTTATAATGACCTGAATGCCCACTACCATGACTCTGTTAAGCTGAAGGATGCTGAGTTGAAGGCCAGGGATGATGAGCTGTCAATTAAAAATGCCGAGGTGGCGTCTCTAAAGGTTAAGTTCGCAGAGCTCCTTAAAGAGAATGGTATTGCCTTCGTGAAGGGATTTACAAAGTTTTAGGTGCAAGGTGAAAAAGTGTATCCTATCCTCGACCTAGATTCCTTCATGTTGCAGTTCGAGGCAAAGAAACTGGCAGATATAGATGCAGATGCTAGGGCTACCACTGAGCTAGATGGTGTTAGCAAAGAAGCCTCTACTAGGCTAGTGGATACAAATAAGGGGGTTGTTGCCGAGGTGGCTGGTATAGGCAAGGAGTCCGTCGATAAGGTGGCTAGTGAAGGTAGGGAACATGACACATGAATTCAATTTTAACTATTGCTATCCCTTCTTTATTACAATTAATTTCTGTATAGGATGTTTCATTTCTATATACTTTCCTTCTCGTTCAATGAAAACTTGGTTTATTTCCTTGTCTGCTCATCCTTTCTTCTTTGCATATGTATGTTGTTGTTTGTATTGTCTCTTTTAAAACCAATAGGCAATAAAATCTATTTAAGATTGTCTTCCCATTTAGCCCATTGCCGAGGTGGGGCCCAATGTCATGCTGTGATCGTGATGTTCTATCGAGGATTATCCCAATTTTGGTGGAACGAAGGCTACCCCCTTACCGAGTTGACTTCTGGGGTTATTTTGGACCTTTCCCATTTCTTTTCATGTACTCCAAACTTGATAGTTNGTAAGATTGTCTTCCCATTTAGCCCATTGCCGAGGTGGGGCCCAATGTCATGCTGTGATCGTGATGTTCTATCAAGGATTATCCCAATTTTGGTGGAACGAAGGCTACCCCCTTACCGAGTTGACTTGGCTCTCTGGGGTTATTTTGGACCTTTCCCATTTCTTTTCATGTACTCCAAACTTGATAGTTTTGTTCGATGGGGAACGTGCGCCGCCGGTAATGGTAGTGGCTCCTAAAAAATAGCGCCTATTTTCCCACGATTATCATGTGACTGTGGCATTAAATATGATTGAAGCGCGTTAACGGCACCCTACTGATGTGATGCACGTCTACTTNTGACGTCGGTAATGGTAGTGGCTCCTAAAAAATAGCGCCTATTTTCCCACGATTATCATGTGACTGTGGCATTAAATATGATTGAAGCGCGTTAACGGCACCCTACTGATGTGATGCACGTCTACTTGCGAACTCTATAAATAGCCTTTCTGTGAGCAGACTTTCTACCTTAGTGTTGGAGCTTTTTTTCTTTTTTCCTAATTTTTGCCTTAACGTTCCCTTCTTGGTGCTAAAGCTTTTCACATTCCATTTTCATGGCGTGAACACCCATTTCCTATCATGATTCTCAACATTTGATCTATCCTGAAGTTGAACCTAGCCAGATTGGTGGCGAGGAAATTCAAGCAATCACTAGTCATTATACGTTTCCCAGTGGAGTGGCCATCAGTGCTGTTGAACATCATCCATATCACCATTTTATGATGGACTGGGTCTGTTTCTTTAAATTCCCTTTCCAATTGGGGTTTCGGTTCCCTATTCCTCCTTTTGTGAGGGAGGTTTTTCATTTCTTCAATTTTTGCCCTATGTTACTTCCTACTAGATGGGAAATTTTGGTAGCATTCCCTGTGCTATGAGATCAGATGTTCACTCGGCCTCAGGCCACTTGGCTGAGTTTCTTAACTTCTTTCGCCTAGTGGAAGTGTCTAAGTTCTACTATTTCACCTTGAGGTGAGGACGAGAGATTCCTATTACTGACCTTTCCCTGAACTTGAAGGATGGAGGAAGATGTATTTCTTCATATTGGGGTTGGGTTGGGAGTTTGAGCCCAGATGATGTCTCTGATTAGAGTTCCTATGGTCTAGGGGAGGCGTGACCGTCTTGGTGAATTTCCATGGCTAGGTGAGTTTTCTTCTTATTGATTTTGCCCTTGCTACGTTTGTCGGGGTCTAACTTGTCCTATTCTTTTGTGTTATAGGCAAGTATCCGACCTAGACCAGGGAAACGCAATCTTGGGTTAATCAAATTCGAGTTCGATTACCATTTTCTTATACAGAGCTTATGCACTCTGAGCTGACTGCGGTCCCGAGTAGTCGTAAGTATTTGTTATTCCTTTGTATTGTGCTATGTCTGTCTAGTGAGTTCCCTCGAACTTACCCTGTGATCGCCCTTGTTGTCTAGTCTTCACGTATTTGATCAGTGAAAGAGATGTGATTATGGAGCAAGTGGGCCAAAGAAAGCGAGCTCGAGGCCCAGGATCTCCGGCAAAGAGGGCCAAACTTGTAGAGGATAACTCAACTCCAACATCGAGCTTAGCTGTTGATCTCAAGGTTCCCCCCAACGTTGTTAAACCATCAATGTCCACATTAGTGTCGAGCCTACCTGTTACACCAGAGGTTCTACCCGATGCTGTTGGAGCGCCGGTATCTGCACCGATATCCAGCACTAAAAAAACAACGGTGGGGATAGTGGTATTTGATCCAGCAGAAGGGTCGGTTCGGCGTGGTTCCTCTTATCCTGGGGTGGAAGGTTCTAGCTTGGTTCAAGCTGATCTGTCCCTTATCGTCGATCTTGAGGGGAACCTGTTGGATGATGTAGCTATAAGCAACCGAGCCCTTATAGAGCTGATCCCCCAAATCGACCTCTACCGCTCTATCAGCCAGCCTTTCAGAGCTGCGAGTTGGGATGTTCTGCACACATTTCTTGAGGTAGTGTTCTTTTTCTTCCATCTTTGACTTCTCTTTTTTCGACCATATAATGATTTAACTTTCTATTTTGGTCTCAGGCGGTGACACATGTTTGTACTCTCGAAGGGGAGATCCATTATCTGAGGGAGGAGGCTCATAGGAGGGACATTGAGCTTTTGTATTGGATTCTGACTATGGAGTCCGAGCTAGAGATGACTCTCGAGTGGAGAGCTGGGGTTTCCCGAAAGTTGATTACCACTGCCACCTTAGAGATCTCATTGCAAAAACAACTAATGACTTAGTCAGAGGAATTGGCCTCTTTGCAGCACGAACTTGATGACCAAATCGATGAGCTGATCTCCTATCAAAACAACAAGGTAGTGTTGATGGCTCAAGTAGATAAGTCTCATGCGGTGATTGCCGACCTGAAGGATTCCTTGACTGCCAAGCAGCAGTTGCTCAAAGAGCAGTGCAAGGAAATCGAGAAGATCAAGAGGGAGGTTGCCAAGGCATTTGTAGATGGCTTTTTCAATTTCGAGGACCAGGTGATTGAGAAGTTTCCTGACCTTGGCCTGGATCAGTTTGAGCCTCGATATGACCTTCCTCCGAGCGGTCCCTCTTGTGCTGTCCCACCATCCATCCAACCCTGAAAACTTTGGTGTTCTTACCACTGTTGTTTTCTTTTTTTTTTGTTGTTGTTTTTTTTTCTTTGTAAAGTGTAATCCTTCTAAAATGAAAAACACTTTAACTTTTCCTAATGTTGCCGATTACTTGTTATGTTCTCCCCTTGCTCCCTACTCCAAGGAGGTCTTGACCTAGTTGGAGGATGGTTGTTGCTTTAGCTACTCCTTTGTTCCCCGAGCTCGATCAACATAATCTCGCGCTGAGGAGTTCTGAGCTGTGTGTATCTGAGCTCCTTGACACTTTGTCAGCTCCACTCGGCTATTCTTTTCCACTAGTGTCGTACATTCATGGATAGAGGCATACGGGTTCAAGTGAAAATGCAATAAATGAATTGTTATTTGTTCCCACCTAACTTCACCTACCTTTATGGAGTGCTACATTCATTAACTCCTGCCATGATTTTGGGAATGAAACAGTCACCCATTCATCTTTGCATGTCGTTTATTTCCCTTCATCTTGGAGCTTTTTGCTTTTCGCGTTCTCAATTTTCCTTAGAGCTTACTTTTTGCATTCTTCTTACTCCATAGAGTTTCCCTTGCATCTCGCTTATTCCTTGGTTTCATAACATCTTACCCTACTTCTTTGTTCAGGCAGCGCGCCCAAGCTATAATTGATGAGCCCTGGTACTCAGTGTTTTTTCTCCCCTCTGTTATTACTACACCGGAGGTAGAGGAGGTTATGAGGCAATATCTTCTTCCTAATCTCCAATCTATCTGGATTCCTTCGCTTGATAAGCCTTGCAACCTTCTCCTTCCTCAAGAAGTTTTCTTTTTTGAAGGCGTGTTCAAGATAGGTCTCCGTTTGCCCATTCGTCCAGCCATCGGGCGTATTTTGGCTTTCGTTGGGCTGCACCCTTCGTGCCTTTCCCCTAAAGGGTGGGGTGCACTGATGAGCTTCTTCATTTTTTGGCGCCTGCAAGGTTATGATGATTTTTCAACTGTTGTCGAGTTCATCTATTTCTTTAACTTTGATTTTGACATGCCCCCCTGTTTTAGCTGCTTCATGTGGAGGCGCCACTTTAACCTCTCACTGGTTCTTAATGCACCTAGCCCTCCAGAGGGATGGACCCGCCATTATTTCTTTATTTATGGGAATTCCTAGGAATCTGTTGAGGCGCAGTTTGAGTGTGCCCAGGTTCCTCACTCTTGGGGGCATCATCTAGACAGAGGTAAAAGAATAGTAGTTCTACTCTCCGCTCTTCCCCTTTCACTTTGGAGGAGTTCTTTGGTTGTTAGTTTTTATGTAGAATCTTAACTATGCTTGTATTATGTAGATGGTCTCAGTCTGACCCCAAATGAGATTAACAGGGTCTACCAGCTGTCCCATGCTAAGGCGACCCCTTTCTTCGCACTAGTCACACCTCAGAACCTCTTTCGATTCGGAATTGGCCCCAACCTAGCTGTCATTCCTCCTCCTCCTCCCGTTATTGATGTAGACTCCTCTTCAACTGAATCGAATGAGGATGTCGCCACCTCCTCAAAAGTGCCGACGAGGCAACCTATCACCGCAGTCATCTAAATCCTCTTCTGGTGAGATGAGGTTTAGAACTGTCAAGATGGAGCTTTCATTGGGAGAAACAAGGCTCAAGAAGCAGCTTTCTAAGGCTAAGAAGAAGCGAGACGAGCTGGAAGATGATCAAACAACAAGAGAAACTACTTATCGTCTGAATGGAATTTCTCTTGTTATTATTCACACCGTTGTTCGATAGGCCCATATCAACCCATTGGGACTTAGAGGCTTCCACCCTTGTTTTCAATGCCAACTTTTATGGTTCTGATGGTAACCTCCGTATGTCCGTTGGATTGTGGGTGCGTAGGTGCCGATAAGTAATTTTTGATTCCCAGCTCCACACAGAACCCCGTGAATCTTGGGTTTTCGAATTGCTTTCCATTATCTGAAACTATTGCTCTGGGAATGCCGACGCTGCAAATTATTGATTTCCAGACGAAGTTCTTGACCTTTTGCTTAGTTATTTTTGCGAATGCTTCAGTTTTCTGCCCATTTAGTGAAGTAATTTATTATAACTATAGCGAATCTATATTGTTCGATAACAATTGGTAGGGGTCCCAAGATAGCTAGGCCTCACTGCTACAACGACCAAGAGCTGACAAAGGGAGTGAGTTGTTGTGGGGGACAATTTGGCAAGTTTTCGTGAATCTAGCATCCTTGACATTTTTTCACCATTTCTTTCAAGTCTTTGGCCATTGTGGGCTAGAAGTATCCTTGCCAGAGTGCTTTGTTTGCCAGGGTCCGTGCCTCGACGTGATTTCCACAAATGCCTTTGTGAATTTCTCTTAGGATATAATCTACCTCCATCTCATAAACATACTTTATTAGTGGAAAGGAAAAACCTCTCTTGTACAACTTATTTAACCTTGCGGTCTTGTTTTCACCCTTGTCGCTTCTTTCTTGTCACTTGGGAGGAGCTCATCCTGTAAAAAGGAAAGGATGGGGGTCTATCCACAAGGTGACCTTTTCGATTGGCATGGCTTGGTCATCGTCGAGCTAAATACTTTGTTCATGTAGGATCTCGACAAGAGTCATTCCAGATAAATCTTGTTAGGCAGCGGTAGCCAGCTTAGCAAATGCGTTGGCTGGGGCATTAGTTTCGCGTGCCACTTAGACAAGCTCGGCTACCAAACACTTCCTCAGCAAACTTCACACTTTTCTCATATACAGAGCCATATTGTCATCTCAAACTGCATATTCTTATTCCACATGCCTGACCACCAACTAGGAGTCGCTATGGACAATGATCTTCTGTACATCCATTGACAAGGCTAAGTTGAGACCAGCTATAAGAGCTTCGTATTTCGGCTCATTGTTGGAGGCTGGGAAGTCGAATCTTAGTGTGTATTCCAGGTCTTACCCCTCGGGAGAGGTCAAGATCAGGATGGTTACACTCCCTTGCGCATTGGAGGTAGGGGTGTTCAAATTTTCGATCGGCCACAATTTTCTACCCTACCCGACCCTACCCTACCTAAAAATCGGCTAACCGCAAAAATCGGGTAGGAATGCGGAAGAGTTTTTGGTCTTCCGATTAAATCGGGTAGGAATGTGAAATAGTCATCTATTTTCCGCATTCCTACCCTACCCTACCCGCATTAATTAATTTAATTAATTTTTTTAATATATATATAAAATAAAAAATCCTAATTGCTAACCATCTACTCAATCTGTTCCAAGTTCCAACTTCCTTCGAGAGGCTTCTCCCTGTCACTCTAGTCCACTGACCACTACTATTCCTCGGCTCCTCTATTGTGTTAAGGACCTTCAGGCTTCAGGTACTCTCTCTCTCTCTTTCCGCGATCTAGACCGTCTGGTCTGATCGCATCGCGATCTCAGATCTGGTTTGGACCGTATGATGATGCACTGCGATCTGGTCTAGATCGTATGATGATGATTTGGTCTGGACTATATGATGATGCAATCTCAGATCTGGTCTCAGATCTCTTCTCGGCACATTGACTCCATAGAGTCATTATTATCTGCAGGAATCAAACTCTATGCAACATAGTTTCAGTATATGAGCTTCGTTAATATTATTCAGATTTTCTAGTCAAAGTAGGAACTTACTACCACATAAAATGCATGGTTAATTTTTGTTTTATCTCTCATTTGTAAGCTCGTGGTATTGAATTCAAATATTATACTTGTTGAGTATAAAATTTTTTACATAACATGATATTTATGTTGATTTCCTGTGTTTAGTTCAACTATAACTTTCTAACCCCAAAGTATTAGATAGATGAAAATTGAAATGTTCACTAGCTGCTTGAATATTTGAATCCATGTGTGACTATTAAGAATTGGTGTTGAATTATGATGTTGTTACAGTACATTGTGTAGTTGATTGCTCGTATAGGCTGCCACTGAGTTCCATTATATCATTACCTTTCTGCCTTTTTATCTTTCCTTTCATTTATATATGTTTTTTTTTTGGTTTAAGTGAAAGCATTTTAAATGCTCTTTGTTTTTTTACTTTTATATGCACATGATTGAAAAGAATATATGGAAGAAGAAACCTACTCATGTTGTTTGATAGTTTTGGGTTTGTGTTTGTTCCATGTCTCGTTACAGTTTAACAAACCTTGATAGCTTATTTTTATGGTTAATTTTTTTTATTTGCTTCTTTTCTTGTGTAAAAGATAAATTTGCTTATGTAGTTCGTTAATTTGTTTTGTTAACAGATCCTATCCTTATGGATGAAATTACTCCACAATCATCTGTTCAAGCTGATTCTAATGATAACATCCAAGTTACTAATGACATTCAGACTAAGGGACAAGATACAAAAAAAAGATCTAGAGTTTGAGAGCATTTTGAAAAGATTGAAGCTACAGATAAAGCTAAATGTCAACATTGTAGTAAGATTTATAATTCATGCAAGAAAAACAGGTACTTCATCCTTGCTTTATCATTTAGATCATTGTAAATCTTATTTGGCGAGTGTGAATAAGAAGGACATATCTCAATTAAAGTTAATTGGTGCATTCAAAAAAGATGGAGATGGTGTTAGTAGTGACCTTAGTGTTGCTAAATTCAATGAAAAGAAAATTAGGGAGACAATTGCTAAAATGATTATAGTGGATGAATTATTGTTCTGGTTTGTTGAAAGAGAAGGATTTAGAGACTTGATGAGGACTGTTGAACCTAGATTTCGTATACCTTCCCGTACCACTGTGACGAGGGATTGTTTGCAATTATATATGATGGAAAGAGAAAAATTGAAGCATATGTTTGTCTCATCTAGTCAAAGAGTTTGTCTTACTACTGATACATTGACGTCTATTCAAAATCTAACTTATATGTCCTTAACTGCACATTTTATTGATAAAGATTAGAAGTTACACAAATGAATAATCAATTTTTTGAAAGATTCTAATCATAAAAGTGTGACAATTGTAAGGGAAATTGAAGCATACATGCTTGGGCGGGGGGACAGATAGCATATTTACTGTTACAGTGGATAATGCTACTTCTAATGATGGTGCTCTTGATTATTTAAATAGGCGAACTAAGGATGGGAAGAGCACTATCTTAGAAAATGAATTTATGCATGTTAGGTGTTGTGCACACATTTTGAATCTAATTGTCATTGAGGGTTTGAAGGAAGTGAACACATCAATTTTGAAGGTACGAAATGTTGTTAAATATGTGAAGTCTTCTCCTTCAAGGCTTGACAAGTTTAAATCATGTGTTAAGAGACAAAAAATTGGTGAAAAATGTCTTATTTGTCTTGATGTTCCAACGAGATGGAACTCTACATATTTGATGCTCAAAATTGTTGAACAGTACCAAGGTGCATTTGATTTGTTGCAAGAAGATGATGGGCAATTTGTAAGTCAATTGAGTGAGGGGGTGGTTTAGGGCCACCTACATTTGATGATTGGGACATTGTTCGTGTGTTTATGAAGTTTTTGAAACTTTTCTATGAAGTCACTTTGCGCATTTCTGGATCATTGTATACCACATCTAACTTGTTTTTTCAAGAACATTCTATTGTGTATGATCATTTGCAAGGTTATTGTGAAAATGATGACTATCTTTTGAGTACCATGGCTATGAGAATGAAAAGCAAGTATAATAAGTATTTGAGTCATTTAAATAATATTAATTTTATGTTGTTTGTTGCTATTGTTCTTGACCCACGTTATAAATTGGATGTTTTAGAATTTTGGCTCAATGACAATTACAAGGCTGAGGATGAAGTAGTTAAGGTTCAATTAGTTGAAAAGATCAAAAGGGTCATTGACCAATTATGCCAACAGTACACTAGATTTAGTGTGGGGTGTGGAGTGGGGTCAAGTGTTCACTATGAGAAAAATATGTCTTCAGCTGAGATGTTTGCTCAAGATCAAGTACCTATAAATTTCATGAATAGGTACCTCAAGTATAGGGCTGAGAAAGGTAATGTGGACAACAAATCAAAGTTGGATCGATATTTGATGGAGGATGTTGAATTTATTAGCGCCAATTTTGATATTTTGAATTGGTGGAAGGTTAATTCTTCTAAATTCTCAATCCTTGCCAAAATAGCTCGTGATGTGTTAGTTATTTCCATTTCTACGGTGGCATCAGAATCAACTTTTAGCACTGGAGGTCATATTTTAGATCCTTTTCGGAGTTGTCTGGCACCCAAAATAGTTGAGGGTCTCATATGTGCACAAAATTGGCTTCAATTGTCATCCATTGCTTATGACTTTGAAGATGTTTTGGATGATTCAGAAAGCTATAAACTAAATTCAGGTTTATATACTTTTATTGTTATTTTTTTATTATTTGTTGATGAGTTCTTCGTATCTAATTTTTTTTCATACTCTTTTTTATCTCATAAATAATTGCAGAGACAATTTCAATTTTCCTTGAGTGAAGAGAGGTGAATGACACTAGCAAAAAAGGTGCTATTTAACTTTTTTAGATTTGTTTTAGTAATTATAAGAGTATTTGTTATTGGTGTGGATGTTTGAGTTGCTAAAATATTAATTTATTTTTTGTGTAGGTTACATGATTTGTGG